ATTTATTTTCCTCAATATTTTTTAAGGTATATCACTCATTTTCATCTCTCTAACAAAATGCTTGAAATAATAAACTTATAAATAAAAAGCTTATTTTGGATGTTCCAGTCTAATTGGCCCCTTTATTTGGGGTTTGTATTAAGGCAATACATCATGGTGGGAAGAGCTGCTAAAGCCAAATCACTTAAGTGCCAGAGAGTGTAAAAAGTGGGGAACTGAGATTCCACAGTCTTCTTCAAGAGGAGCCCCAGGCGAACTAGGTATTCCCATGAACTGACTTTGTTGGCCTGAGTTTGTAAAACTTCTGCTACCTTCCAGTGGTACCAAACTTGGGGCCAACCTTAACATGGGCCTTTGAGAGACACTTAGCATCCAAACTATAGCATATAGGGGCCGGGGAGATGGCTCAGTGGAATAAGCGCTTCCCTGGCAAGCGCAAGGGCCTGAGTTCAATCCCCGGTTCCGCCAAAAAAAACCCAGAACAAACTATAGCATATGACTATTCAAATAATGGTTTATATTCAGTGAATCATAGTAGCTTGTTCTTTTTAAGAAATTAATCAATGTAAGTTATAAGAATGTGTGTGTATCAAGTTCTTCATGGTAGCCCTATCCTAGCCTTGTCTTCAGGGTCTGAAATGATATCTTCATTCTTTTTTTTTTTTTGGTTTTTTTTTTTTTTTGCGGAACCGGCAATTGAACTCAGACCCTTGAGCTTGCTAGGGAAGCGCTTATTCCACTGAGCCATCTCCCCAGCCCCGATATCTTCATTCTTGATATTGGCAATTTATATCTTCTCATTTTTTGTCAGTCAATTTATGAATCATTTTGAAGGACCAGTTCTCTGTTGCCTTATTTTTTTTTCTGTTTTCAAATATTTTGATTATTGACTTGAAGCTTTTCTTCTAAATAAGCTTTAAATAGTATAAAATTCCCTCTCAGTTATTTAAGATGTTTCTCACAAATTTTGGCATGTTAAACCAATTATAACCTTTCATTTTCCAGCCCAAAGATATAGTTCAATGGCACAGTGCCTGCCTGGCAAGTCTGAGGTCATGAGTTTGGTTCTCAGTACCAAAAAACTATTTTTCATTTTCATTTTATTGTTAAAAATGTTTCATTGAAACTTCCTTTTTGACCAACATATTGCTTAGGAATGTATTGCTTTAATTACAAGTGTTCATAAATTTTCATATTACCTGTTATGGATTTCTAGTTTGATTCCACTATGATCAAAGTAAATATTTTGTGTGATTTTAATTCTTTTGAATTTGTGATGATTTGTTGACAAATACGGTCTCTCCTAACATGTTTTATGGCTCCTAAAAAGAGTATGTACTCTGCTGTTCTTGAAATGTTCAATTAGATTCTATCGATTGATAGTATAGTGTACCCTTCCACGTCTTTCCAAATATTATCCCTGGTTGTTCTATCAAATGTTGACAGAGGAACGTTAAAAAGTCTTGAACTCTAGGGCCAGCAAGATAGCTCAATGGACTAAGTGCCTACTTTGGCAAGTACAGGAACCAGGGTTGGATCCCCCATCCTGCTTGCTGCACTGGCCCTGCCTCCAGAGTACTCGGAGCCATTGACCAAGTCTGGGCGTGGTGGCTCAAGCCTGTATGTAATTCCTAGTGCTGGGGTGCTGGGGAGGCTGAAAACAGGAGGATCACTATGAGTCTGGGCTACGTAGTGAGACCCTGTACCAAATACATAAAAAGAAAAAAAAAAAGTCTTGAACTCTTAATTGTGGACTTGTTGAGTTCTTTTTCTTTTCAGTTTTATGATTTTTTTTCTTCCTGCTTTTCTTTTTAACCGATGTTGCTTGGTAAATGTGCATTTAGTATCGTTGTATGTTCTTAGTGGATTAACCTTTTATCATTATGTAATGTCCTTCTAAGTCTCTGTCATTTTCTTTGTCCTAAATCCTAGTTAATATAGTGTTATTACTGCTCCTTCTCATCTTACGTTAATGTTTGTGTGATATGTCTTTACCAGCATTTTACTTTTGTCCTATCTCTGTATTCAAAGTTTATTTCTTAGAGACAGCATACAGACAGATTGTATTTTTAATCCACTCTGCCAATCTCTGTCTTATAATTGGTTTATTTAGACCAATTAATGTAATTATTGATATGTTAGGACTTAGATCTGGTTTTGTTTAGGTTTGATTTGGTTTTCTTGCGACACGGTTTCACTGTGTAGTCCCTGCTGGCCTTGAACTAGATATGTAGCTGAGGGTGGTCCTAAATTCATGGCAAGCCTCCTGCCTCAGTCTCTCAAGTGCTGCCATTACAGGCATGCACCACTATGTCTGTCTAGGTCTACCTTTTTACTTTTTGTTTTCTGTTTATTCTTTTTCCATTTCTGTTTTATTTTTTCTGACTTTTACAGGTACTACTTGAATTTTTCTTTAGACTTTCATTTTGGTTTATTTATAATGTTTTCATGTGTATCTGTTTTGTATCTATTTTGATTAAATATATGTATATTTTTTCACAGTCTACTGAGGCAACATCACCTGTTTGTGTGAAGTGTAGAAACCTGTCACCCTTTGTATATATTTATTCCCTATTCATAAAATGATTGTCTTTCCTATTTCTCATTTTGAATCACCTTGAATGGCTTAACAATTTGTATTATAATTATAATTTAAAAATCTTAAGTATGATAGTAAAACTTAATGTATTTAACTGTATTATTTTACCTTTCCCCCCCCCCCACTTTTACTTTTTCCTTTCCATAGGTCCTGAGACTCTCTTTGTTTGTTTTGTTTTTCCAACCTGTTTTCCATTTTGTCTCTACGTTTATTGATTGATTGATTGTGTTTTTAGGGAAGGGCCTACAGGGTGTTCAGGATCTCACTACTAGATGGGACTCGTAGTGATCCGCCTGTTTACAGCTTCCCAAGAGCTGGGATTACAGGCACGCACCATCACACCCAGTCTCCCCGACAGGACCGGCACAGCAGACCTAGGGATCGAACCCCCAGTCTCTGCCCCTTCTTACAGGCACTTTAATCTGCTGAGCTATTTGGCCGGCCCTTGTCTGCATTTACTGATTCTTTTCTGTGCCTCTGCAATATGTTGTTGAGCCTACCCTTGATATATTTCTATCATTTTGGGTTTTAGTTCTAAAACATCCAGTTTTAAGAAATAGTGTATTTGTTCTCATTTCTTTGTGAAGCTGTCTTTTTTTCATTTGTGTCAAGTTCACTCATAATTGCTCATTGAAACATTTTTATGGAGACCTTTGTCTGATACTCTAGCACATATGTATGTGATTCCAGTAGTGTCATCTATTTAAATGCCCTTTTTCTTTGAGGTTGAGATTTTTTTTCCTGATTCTCAGGAACAAACGAGTTTTGATATTGAATGATTTTAGATTTAAAAAAAAAACACCTGAGCAATTGTGGTGTTATGTTATGAGATTCTGGGTCTTATTTAAATCTGTTTTTGTAGCTTCATCTGATACTACTTTGTAGAAGATGGGGTCAGGATGTCACCACCAGCTAGAGGTAGAAGTTAGGTGCTGCACTTGATACCTGAGACAGAGAAGGACATTACTGCTTAGCAGGGTTCTGTTGGAATGACGCCTTGGCTGAGAGAGCCAGAAGTGCCTTGTTGCTGCCGCTCAGGTGGCTGTCCCTGACAACACTGGGCACTGGTGGCAGTCCTAACTTTCTATCTAGGATTTCTTTGGCACCATTAGAGGTTATTACTATCAGATGGGGATGAAGTCTAGGTACCCAGCTTGTCTCCCTGTTCACAGTGAGGGGCACTCATTGCAGGTGTACAGGGATTCTCCCATCACTCCACCTTCTCATCCCACCCCAACATGGCAATTGACTCTTCACCAGAGCCCAGTGAGGATAGAAGTCTAGGCTTTCTCTTGGCCTTGCTAGAAAGTGTGGGAACCTTTCATCAGCTCTTTGTGGTATTTCCCTGAAGTAGAGCAGGCATTCAAATATTTTTTGTCTTGCTAAGCTAGCCCCTTCCTTAGTTTTTTTTTTTTTATTATTATTACAGAAAGTGGACTTTAGGGGGGCTTCTTTGGATCTGCGCCTATTGCTGATTCCAGGTTGCTGTTTTAGCTCCAATTCTGGGAAGGGAGAGGCACAGAGAAATCCCAGGAATTTAGTGCTGTCATTCTTCAGGTCCCAAGGTTTTGGGGTCTTACCTAGTCTGCCTTCTACCGTTTAATGTCTTCTTATGGTCATCTTATACTTTCTGTATAATGTCAGGCACTTGAGTTGTACTTGGTAAGAGAAATAGAGAAAAGTATGACTACTTGTTTCTCCCAGATCTGAAGTCCTAATTTTTTCTTATTAGCAGCAGTTTCTGTTTTGAGAAGTGAGTGTTAAATTGTCTTCCCTCTCAGATGACTGAGAGAAACTAGGAGTTTTGTTTTATATATTCCCATGCTCCTTTTCTACTTCTGTATGAGGCATTTCAGTAACTGGTCAGTTTGATAGCAAAGATAGAAACTGCTTTGTGATTTTGTATCAAGTTCTTTGAAAACTAGTGAGGTTTAAATATCTCTTGTTTTATTGAAAATAATATTTAATTCACTGGATACTTTTTTATGCCTGTTGATAGTCTTTGCTTAGTCTCTGTATTCCTTCCTGGGAGAGCCTTGAGACCTGGTCTGAGAAAGCTCAAGCCGGAAAACATCAGTGGTCTTCTTCCATTCCTGACATAGGACTTTTACTGGAAAAATGAAGCCTGATCCACTGACAAAACTGTACTTGAGAATTAGGGGTAGTTGTCACCTGCACCCTGGCCTGATCCTAGCTATCTATTGGTAGGGATGACTGTCACTCCCTGAGCTGGCCTGCTCTTAGCTGTCCATCTGTAGGGGTGGCTGTCACTGCACAAGCTGGCAGTGGTCTTGGTTGTCAGTAGCAGGTATGTGATTGCTCTTTACATGCCTGATTTAGCAAAACATAAAGGAGAATTCAACTTTGCAAATAAACTATTCAATTTTGTTCTTTTTCCCAGGCAAAAACTTATTATCCCGAATGGAAGTTGTCCTGTTATTCTGAATACTTATTTTTGTCAGAAATATGTTGCCAAAGAAGACCCAGAAACAACTCAGGAAGTGTACAGGCAGGATATACACCTTCCAAGAAGAAATATCACTTTGGCTCAGATGTTTAGATTTAAGGACATAACAGATAATTCACCTGAAATCCAGGTAAAGTCTTGTTGGTTCAGAGGTTTTATTTGAACCTGGTCTTAGGTGTGAGGATGTTCACCTTTGGACCATCTCCAAAAATATATGCTAGAGAATCTTATTATTGTTATCTCTAAAAACACTGTAATTCACATCAGCATTTAGTTATGCTCTTTTAACATGTATTCCTAATTATGTATTTTTAATCTTTATGCTAATTTATTAAAATATATGAAATTATTTTCTCTGTTCACATCTTACATCTAAGACGTTTAAGCCCATCTTTATTTTTTAAAAAATTTTATTTTTATTTTCCATACTATGTATATCCCTTGAGAGATAACGAATTGCACAAACTGGAGATTATAAAATAGAGATTGATTTTTAGGAATTTTTATGGCCTTGAGCTATGGTAATTTGCCAGGGTGAGTTTTGGGAACCACTAAAATTCATTGGCAGTGGGCATGCTGTGTGTCACACAAACAGTCTCAACTCTGTCAGTGTTGTTTCTGCTGCACAGGCCTCAATAATCTCATTAGGTTATAGAAATCATGACACACAAAATGAAATAAAGTTCAAACTGACATATAGAGGGAGATAAAGTTACACAGACTCATAACCTTTTACCCTGTGTTTGTTTTTTGTTTGGTTTTGGTACTAGGGATTGAACAGTACTAGAGTGCTGAGCTATATCCCCTGCCCTTTTTATTTTGAGACAGACTGTTGCTAAATTGTGCAGGCAGGTCTCCTGCTTGCAAATCCTCCTGTCTCAGCCTTCCAAGTAGCTGGGTCTATAACAGAGTACCATTATACCTGGCCAGTCTGGTGCCATATAATCAAGCAAAAATGTCCAATGACTATTAGAAGTTTCTGGAAGGGATTATTGAAAAGGAGGGCACTCTAATCAATTTAATTATGACGTTTGAAATATGGTTTAAAATACATTTTAACTGTGCAGGTGTGAAATTGGTGAGGTATACTTTGTCTCATAAGAGTGTCAATAAAGTGTCTGTGTAGCATAAAGCCTGAAAATAGGGACTTTGGTACCATAACCCATGGTTCAAGTCTTGCCTCAGCCATTTTTTCTGGGTGACCAGAGGTAGTCTCTGTATCTCACTTTTCCCTGTAGAATAGGGAAAATGATACTACATCCCAGAATAGAGCCTGGAAAGCACATTGGAATTATTATCTTAACAATGGTTGATATTATTGCATAGGGTAGTTTGGAGGGTACATGAATATGCACAACACTTAAGCTAGCTGATGCATATGTGAGCACTTAATAAAATACTTTATTTTTGTTATAGCCTCTCATTCTTTATTTTATATTTGACTTTGTCCTTTTATATTTGTCACCTCAAAAAGAAAAAATGTAATGATTAATTATGATAAGATATTTAATAACAGAACTGATCATGCTGGGATTCCATCAGGGAATCACTCTGCCATCCACTATGCTGTCTCCTACCTGTCCCTCCCAAACAGGCTAGTTACCTGGGAGTTATACAGACATCCCATCCCATTCATTTGTTGCTTTTGTCTCCCCATTCCTTCAGTTCAGTGAAGATCCTTTGGATGATAACTTGGTGGGTAGCATGATATTGTAGGCCAAACTGTGTAACAGCTCCCTTTGCATGTCTTAACCAGGTTTTACATAGTGGCCTGGCCTCCACAAGTACGGGCTGGAACCATGGGCGTGAAGAGGCAAAGCAGCTCCTCATAGCTGCCACTTCCTCAAAGGATTCTCTCCTGGATGTGGTGGAGTGCCAGGGAGCTGCCCCATATTCCAAAGTGGGGGTTCAAGTGGTAGTACAAAGAGTATACTTCCTTCCTGGAAGAGACAGCACCCGAAGCCAGCAGGGGAACAACTCAGGGCATGCAGACCAACCTGGAACTCGGTGAGTGACAAAATGTAAGCAAAGATGGGGAAGGTTACCCAGACACAAAGCTTGAGAAAGAAGAAATCAGCCTGGTGCAGTTGCTAGGCTGCATTTACTAAATGCATGGGTTGTGTTTCTAAATCTTTGTCTTGAATTAAAATTTAGAAAACACAGTATGACAAAGAATTTTATGTATTTACTTTAAAAATTGAATTATTGCATTTACTTTTAATAGCTCATGTTGTTAAAAGTAATAAACATATAAGATAAATAGATATTGTTCTGGAAAACAAACAAGATGTGGTTACCATACTAAACAGATCCTTCAACATCAACTTTTGTATGTCCTGAAAACCTGAGTAGCTGGTCCCAACCCTGGGATTCACGGAGACAGTTATTGAGACTGGGCATGGTGGCACGTGTCTGTAATCCCAGTGCTTGGGAGGCTGTAAACAGGAGGATCACTACAAGTCCAATCTGTGTAGTGAGACCCTGTACTAAATACAAAAAAAAAAAAACCAAAACCACCCAAGTAAATGATGCCAGTCAGCTGTCAGAGTATTGTTTCAAACAGTACACATCAGTGATGTTTAATAGAACTGTTCACAGTAATGTGAATGTTTTATCTGCATTATCCAGGGAAGCCTATGCTCACACGTAGTTATTGTTCACTTAAATTGTGGCTAATGTGAATATATATACATGTATACATAATATATATGTATATATATTAAGGAAGGATCTACAGGGTGTTCAGGGTCTCACGACTAGATCAGACTCGCAGTGATCTGCCTGATTACAGCTTCCCAAGAGCTGGGATTATAGGCGCACACCACCATGCCCAGTCTTAGACTGCTTCCAAGCCTTAAGTTATTATAAGTGGTGTTACTATATATATGGGTATGCGTGTCTCAGGTTGTCTTTAACTCTTTCCTAGAAAAGGATTATGTGGATTAAATAGAATGTCTAGTTTTAGTTTTTCCAGGAATCTCCATCCTGATTTCCATAGTGGTTGTACCAATTTACATTCTTACAAGAAATACAGAAGGATTCCTTTTCTCCTCCATAGTCTCACTCGCATTGGTTATTCCAATTAAAGATATTCCTTCTTTAACAACTTACCTGTTTCAGGACTCTTCAGACTTATAGCGGAGACACACTGTTCAGAATTATGACCCATCTTTCTACAGTTCTGTACATCTTGTTTATAGAGCCTCAATGTCTTTTCATTACAAGTATACCTACATCTTTTTATTACAGTGCTGTAATTCATGCTGATTGCACAGTAAAGAACTGTAGTTTTATGTTGTTATACACTATAGTACTGCATGTCTTATGAAAATAAAAATAAAGGCATTTTTTAAGTATATCAATTATTTAATTAGGTTCTTAGTAAGAAATTTACAACACTAATTTATGATGATAAATTCCATTTGTCAGAGCAAAAACAAAACACAGGTGCCCCCAGAGCTGAGGAACAGCTTTGATTTTTGCTAAAAAAATCCACCTTGCGCTGCGCTGAAATCTAGTATCTGTCTTTCTCGATGTAGAAGATCTCACCCTCCTGGTATCTGGGTTTCCACAGCTGTTTCTTTAAGCATCAGTGAGGTGTTTGGGGATTTTCACTTCACTGATACCAATTTTCGTAGAGGTGGCAATGACAGATTTCTAGTGTGTTCTTCATAGAGGAACACGATTAAGGCTAAGAGGCCCAATCACAAGTAGCAAGCCACTGGCCAGCTGCTTCAGGAAGACCACTCTCTTGCCTCTGTGACGCCCGGTGAGGGTGATCAAGATGGTGCTGGGAGTGATGCTAACTCGAAGTTTCCTCACATGCTGACTGATGGATTTCTTGCCATGGCTCAAGAGCTTTTGGAGCGCATCTTCAGTAGGGTAGTATCTAGGCATTTTTTGAAGCGTAACCACCCGGATACCACCATTCGTGTCACCACTGACTGGTTTTGTGATCGTAGCAAGAACTTTCTCCTTTTTCTTCTCAACCTTTCATTTAGCAGCTGTGTGCTTTCTCTTGTACAGAGCCTCTGTGGAATACATAGCAGATCAGGAATATCTACCAATTCCTCCCACGAGGACAGGATTTCGGCTGCAGTGGGGCTGCCCCTTGTTGGACTTTTGTGCCTTCACCTTACCGTTTTTACCAGTGCCATTGGCTGCAGCCTTCTTGACTTCAGGTTTCTTCTCTTTAGTTTCTGGCTTCTCAGTTTTTTCACCAACTATCTTGCAAGATATGAAAGAGAGGCAAAGACATAAATTTTGAATTTCTTTTGGCCACTTTTTTTTTTCTGCATGTTGTAGTAGACATACTATATAGGATTCCTCAGTTAGCAACCAATTCACCCAATGACCTAGTCACAGAAGCAGGCCTCAGTTCTTAAACGAGGAGTGTCTTATTTGATATCTTTATGATAACCATTCTGTTTTGGAAAGGTAGAATCTCAGTGTTGTTTAATCTGCATTTCTCTAATTGCCCAAAATGTTGAACATTTTTCATGTATTTGTTGGCCATTTGTACTTCTTCTAATTGTACTTCTTCTTTTTTGATTGAATCTTTTATTTTGGGAGGGTCTAATTTTTTTGTGTATTCTTCATATATTTTGGATGTTAGTCTTCTGTCTAAGGAATAGCTGGCAAAAATTTTCCCGCAGTTTTAGGTTGTCTCTTTACTCTGTTCATTGTTTTTTTTGCTGTAAAGAGCGATTTTTATTTTTATATAATCCCATTTGTCAAGTTTGATGCAATAAGGGTTCTTAATGCCATAGGGGTTCTTTTCAGAAAGTCCTTGCCTATGCCTATGTCTCTAACAGTTTTGCTTACTTTTTCCAGCAGACTAATAATTTAAATCTTTCATCTATTTTGATTTTAGTTTAGTACATGGTGAGAGTTCTAGATTTAATCTCCTACATGTATAGAGCCAGTTTTCCCAGCACCATTTGTTAAAAACATTATCTTTTCTCCATACTTATGTTTTTGACACCTTAAATAGCTGAATGTGTCTGGGATCATTTCAGTCTGTTCCACTGATCCACATATCTGTTTTTGTGCCAGTACCGTGCTATTTTTGTCACTGCAGCTTTGTCATATAACTTGAAGTTCAGGATGGTGATGCCTCTTGCTTTGATCTTGTGGCCCAAATTTGCTTTTGTTTTTCTGGGTCTCTTCTGGTTTCATATGAATTATAGGACACTTTTTTCTCATTCTCTGAAGAATGCTGTTGGTATTTTATTTGGAATTGTATCAAATCTATATATTAATTTCACTAGTACGGTCATTTTGGCAATATTGATTCTACCTTTTAGGAATAGGGAATATGGTTCTATTTTCCTTTTGTTTTTATTTTATGAAAGGATCTACAGGGTGTTCAGGGTCTCACTACTAAATCGGACTCATAGTGATAGCCTGATTACAGCTTTCCAAGAGCTGGGATTACAGGCATGCGCTACCACGCCCAGTCTCAATTGCTGTCCCAGTGCACCCCAGGGGTATGGCCAGCACGGCAGGCCCGGGGATTGAACCCCTGGCCCCAGTGCCTGCTTGCAGGCGCTTTAATCTGCTGAGCTATTTGGCCAGCCCTATGCTTCTATTTTCTGACGTCCTCTTTGATTTCCTTTTCCAAAATACTGTAGTCTTTATTATAGAGATCTTTCACTTCCTTGCTTAGATTAACCCCTAAATAGGTACTTTTCTTGAAGTTAATATAAATGATATCCTTTTCCTAATTTCTTTCTAGATGGATTCATTATTATTTTATAAGAATGCTATTAATTTGTGTGTACTGATTTTCTTTTCTACCTCCCCTCCCCATTTATGTCTTTGGTACAGAGTCTCACTATGCAGCTCAGACTAGTAGTGATTCTCCTGTTTTCAGCCT